GGACAATAAACTCCTAGAATATACAAGATAAATGGTTCTAGCCGCATTGCTTGGACAATAAACTCCCAGAATATACAAGATAAATGGGTATAGCTGCAGTACTTGGACAATAAAATCCTGGAATATACAAAATAAATGGGTCTAGCCGCAGTGCTTGGACAATAAAATCCTAGAATATACGAGATAAATGGGTCTAGCCGCATTGCTTGGACAATAAACTCCCAGAATATACAAGATAAATGGGTCTATCCGCAGTGCTTGGACAATAAACTTCTAGAATATACAAGATAAATGGGTCTATCCGCAGTGCTTGGACAATAAACTCCCAGAATATACAAGATAAATGGGTCTAGCCGCAGTGCTTGCACAATAAACTCCTAGAATATACAAGATAAACGGGTCTAGCAGCAGTACTAGGACAATAAACTCCTTGAATATACAAGATAAATGAGTCTAGCCCCAGTACTAGGACAATAAAATCCTAGAATATACAAGATAAATGGGTCTAGGCGCAGTACTTGGACAATAAAATCCTGGAATATACAAAATACATGGGTCTATCCGCAGTGCTTGGACAATAAAATCCTAGAATATACAAGATAAATGGGTCTAGGCGCAGTGCTTGGACAATAAACTTCTAGAATATACAAGATAAATGGGTCTACGCGTAGAATATACAAGACAAATGGGTCTAGGCGCAGTGCTTGGACAATAAACTCCTAGAATATACAAGATAAATGGATCTAAAAAGAACCATTTTACAAAATAAGTGATTTTACAAGTGTCTAGTAAAACCATCAAATACACTTAAGTATTGCTATAATGTCGTCTTCCTATTCCATTGTTATTTGCATCACTGTACTTCAACGTTTTTGATGGATTTTTAATTTTATTCTCTAGATTTATCTTTGTAACTAGTTTGTAACTTATGATGATGTTTAAGTATGTTGAAAAGTTAATTTTCTGATAAGCGTCGTGTTTAGTTTACAACAAGGTTGACTTTACTTTACTCAACTTTAACATAAGGATTCCCAGGTTTGAGTCCAATACTCTTACAGAGATTATTAACTTTAAGTGATTCATAATAAATAACCTTGACACTTTTATCTAATCAATCGATTTAAAATATCACTGTTGACAACTTTAATTGTTTAAAAGATCCATAATAGAACTCATTAGGCAATCAAAACATTTTGTCCATTGGAATTTAATATTTGGGGTTTAAGAATATATACTAAACATCGTGGACAAATAGATGACACAAGCTGTCAAATTTGTCATAGATCATAAGTTTTTCAAAACTTTAAACACATAATCCATCTGCTCTTAAAAAATTTACAGAAAAATCCCAAAAATAGACAATCTTAGATTTTTAGATAGGTGAAAAATCCCTATAGCTTAGTTTATTAGGTTAATTTATTATAAGAAATCTTCCCATTTCGTAGTTGTAGTTAAAATCTTACTTTTGACTTAAACTAGGATTTATTCGTTGCAGTAACCTTGGGTTAATTATAGACTTATCCTAACTCATACTAGAGATTTAGAGATTTTTAAAACTGTAATTTTTCATTTAAATCAATAAATCTACTTTTTTACTCTACAGAGGTTTGGTCCATCACCATCACCGAATTTTAAATTATTCAAATCAAGAAAGCAGTAACCTAAGTAATGATCATTAAATAGAAGACTTAAAAAATTAAAGTAACCAAAGGAAGCTTATATTTGATTTTTTTAATATTTTCTAAAGCTAATAATTTAAAATTGAATGAATATTACCTGAGCTGTTTTGTCCTTGCACCTCTGATATACTCCCGGAGTATGGAGTAAACCTGAACCCTGTGTTTTTCATCCTCAAGGATATCCGAGTCCTCTATCAGCTGGATCAGGGTATCTTTAGATATTCCAATCTGAAAAAAAAATATAATAAAGGAACTGTTGAAGAAATTTCAAGTAAACCTCCATATAGTAAAAGGTATGTCAGACACTCAACGGTGCGCTTTAAACATTTGTTTAAGAAAAAATAAATTGTAGAGCTATTGTTAGATATGTAGGTTGGAGTGGTAGGGTTAGATGTACAGGTTGGAGTGCTAGGGTAAGATGTAACAGGTTGGAGTACTAGGGTTAGATATGTGGGTTGGAGTGATAGGGTTAGATATATAGGTTGTAGTACTAGGGTTAGATGTATAGGTTGGAGTTATAGGGTTAGATGTACAGGTTGGAGTGCTAGGGTTAGATGTATAGGTTGGAGGGCTAGGGTTAGATGCATAGGTCGGAGTACTAGGGTTAGATGTATAAGTTGAAGTGCTAGAGTGAAATGTATAGGTTGTAGTACTAGGGTTAGATGCATAGGTCGGAGTACTAGGGTTAGATGTATAGGTTGGAGTACTAGGGTTAGATGTATAGGTTGGAGTACTAGGGTTATATCTATATGATGGAGTGTTAGGGTTGATGTATAGGTTGGAGTACTAGGGTTCGGTGTAAAGGTTGGAGTACTAGTGTTAGATGTAAAGGTTGGAGTGCTAGGGTTAGATGTACAGGTTGTAGTACTAGAGTTAGATTTATATGTTTGAGTGCTAAGGTTAGATGTATAGGTTGGAGTGCTAGGATGAGATGTATAGGTTGGAGTGCTAGGGTTAGATGTATAGGTTGGAGTGCTAGGATGAGATGTATAGGTTGGAGTGCTAGGGTTAGAAGTATAGGTTGTAGTACCAGAGTTAGATTTATATGTTTGAGTGCTAAGGTTAGATGTATAGGTTGGAGTGCTAGGATGAGATGTATAGGTTGGAGTACTAGGGTTAGAAGTATAGGTTGTAGTGCTAGAGTTATATATATTGGTTGGAGTACTAGGGTTAGAAGTATAGGTTGTAGTGCTAGGGTTATATATATTGGTTGGAGTGCTAGGGTTAGATGTATAGGTTGTAGAAATAGGGTTAGATATATTGGTTGGAGTGCTCGGGTTAGCTGTATAGGTTGGAGTTTCAGGGTTAGATGTATAGATTGGAGTGCTCGGGTTAGCTGTACAGGTTGGACTGACTGCTAGGGTTAGATGTATAGGTTGGAGTGCTAAATGTAAATAGGTTGGAGTTCCAGGGTTAGATGTATACATTGGAGTGCTAAATGTAAATAGGTTGGATGGCCAAATGTACCTGGCGGGTTGGAGTACTGGGGTTAGAGGTGTAGGTCGCTTTTTTAACCAGGGTTCCTGGTCCCCGACCACTAGGTGGCTTACCGCCAGGTGGCTTATTCGGTTTCCATTCATTCAAAGTATTTTGGTCTAAACTCGGAGTGGTTCCTTGAGTATTAGACTGAGAATAGATTGAACCTGGATTAGGTTCTGTGTTATTAGGTTGATTTGAATCTGTTGTTACATTTAGATCCACAGTAGGTTCTGTATCTAGGTCTTGGCCTGGAACTGTATTTATGTTCAGGTGTGAACCAGGGTCGGAGCAATCTTCTAAACTGTCCTCCTCAGATAAACTAAGAAATTAATTGTTTGCCCTTTTTCCGAACTGTAGAGTAAATATGTTCATATCATAACATTAAATATGAAAACAGTATTTCTCCAGTAAAAATGGAATAGAAGAGTTCACTCTGGGGTAAACATTCCTGTGTTCTGTTTCAAGTAGAGAGCTACGGTTAGAACTACCGGAGCTTCTTGATCCTCCCTCATCCATCGGAACCAGATCCGCTGCAAGCTCCTTCTCCTCCTCCTGGTATAATGAATCTATAGTTAGATATTGTAGATATTAAATTTCTCTATACATTCAAGTGTCAAAAGTGTTAAAACGCTTAAAATATGATCAGCACATACTCTCTTCTTCGCCAGCACTCCCTTATTTGTACATTTTATATTGTATTAGTGGGAAATGGGCCTCTAAGTCGGCGACGCAGGGAAATTATTTTTGTTCCAAAAAATGTTATAAATGCTCTGGCAGTCTACCGACTGTATCTAGGTGCTTTGTGGTTTGCTCGCCCACGCACTCTCTGACTCATACATAAACCTAATCTACTCCTACGTGTAGAAATATCACAACAGAACATAAAACAGATCAAGGAACTAAACCAGCAAGGGAAGGGTTTACAACGTACATGAGAATGAAACCGCCCCGTTAGACTTATGCATTTTTTATCTAGGAACCATTTAATGCAAATTAGCAAACCCACGCGCAGCAAATAAAGCCCTCAACCAATCATATTCATGAATTTCAGGAAATATGCATTTAGAAATGAATAAAATCATACACAGCGGTGTAAATTCAACTTATGCAAAGTATATCTGGACAGTTCACCTCCTCAGCAGCAGGAGCAGCAGTAGTAGGAGCAGGAACAGTATTAGCAGGAGTAGGAGAAGGAGAAATTTTACAATTATCATTGATCAGGGGAAGATCAATTTTCTCTGGACCTTAAGTTGAATTACTGTCTAAAGTAATTGATTCTTTGCAACTAAACTTTTATCTAATTCTTATATCTTTGCAACCTAACTTCGTAGTCCTTAAATTTTTCATACTATGCATTCTGTTAGATCTATTAATCTAAGTTTGAAATATCAAAGGTTAGGTTTATATTATCAGGTTGCAAAGATATAAGGATTAGAAAAATGATTTTGTGGCAAAAACTCTATTCCTTTAATTTCATTAGAAATATACTATTACTATTACTATTACACTTACTTTTACCATTACTTTTACTATTACTATTACTATTACTATTACTATTAC